CCTCCAGCCCCCTCAACCCGCCCCTCCTCTCCCTCTCCTGCTCCCCATCTCCATCCCCATCGCCTATCTCCCCCACCAACTCCTTCCCCTCAAGCGCCTTCCTAACCCTCTCCAACCCCCCGCCCTCCCTCTCGCTCCTCCTTACAATATCCCCCAGCGTCCGCGCCCTCTTCGCCTTCTGCCCACCATCAGGCTTGCGCGCGTGTATCTGCGCGAGCTCTTCGCCCCGCGCGCGGAGCTCGGTCGAGTTGCCGAAGCCGTTGAGCACCTGCAGAGGAAGGATGTTGGAGTTCGAGTTCGGGTCGTCCTCGCGCGACGACCCCTCCTCAACATGTTCCTGGCTCCCGACATCGACCCTTGTACTAAACTCCTCGACCTGCGTCCCCACCCCCCTCGCGGGGCTCGTAAACGCCTCGATGCTCTCGTGCCCGCCCTGCGAATGGTGCTGCGCGAGGTACGGCGCCATCTGTCCGGGCGTTATCTGCGGGATTGGCCCATGCGCCCTTGCTGCAGAGGAAGATGATGCGGATGTGGACGGGCCGGCGCGCGCGAGGAGCGGGTCGGGTTTGGGCGCGCCTGTGACGCGCGGGCCGGTGGTGTGTCCGTGTCCGTGTCCGTTGTTGTTCGTGGGCCGGTGGCCGTTGGCGGTGACGGTTCGCCGGGGCGCAGAGATCGGTATCCGCGGCGCGATCGCCCTAAACGCGTGCGGCTGATGAGCCTGAGCCTGGCCGGGCGAAAGCGGCGGCGGCGGCGAAGCCTGCGACCGTATCTCGTCCTCCCCACCCGACCCCGACACAGACTCCTCATCTTCCTCCTCCTCCTCCTCCTCTTCCTCGTCCGACTCGGCCTTATCATTCGCCGAAGGGCTCTCCTCGCGCTCCGATACGATCGGCGCAGGCGTGACAGCGGCGTCGATTGCGAACTCTGCGTCGGGCGCCAGCGTGAGGTCGCGTGCGGAGGCGGGCGTGACTTCTTTCGCGACTTCGTTCTCTTCGTCCACATCGATGGGCTGTGCTCCGTCTTCCGCAGGTATGCTCTCGTCGTCCGCATCAGCACCATCCCCATCCCTAACGCCCCTCTCCTTCTCACGCCTTCCATACGTCCTCCTAACCCGCGCACTCTCACCCGCCTCCAAACCCTCCCTCGTACGCGAACTCGCCTGTGGTCGTGGCAGCGGCGGCTCGAGCGGCGCATGCTCGACCGGGCTGATATCCCTCCCAAACTCGAACGCATCGTCGTCCTCAAACTCGTACTCGAACTCGTCGCGGCGCGTCGTGGACTGTGTGCCGGGCACGATGCTGCCCTGGCTCGGCGCTGGGCCTGTGGATGTGCGCGATGGGCCGGCGACGGCGTTCGAGTTCGCCGTCTTCGAAGGTCCAGCGACGGGATTAACGGGATTGGCGGCGAGGTTGTTCTTGAGCACTCTAGCTGCGTCAGCGTGCCCGACACCGTTCGCGCGCATATAATCCGCGACCGTCTTAACCTTGCCAGTACTAGCACCACATTAACACGCTTTCCAGATGGAGAAAGAAGAACGACGTACGCTGCTTTCTTCGGCGGTGGAGGGGGACCGGGGACGATGTCGAAGGGGGAGGGCCCGGCCGCTTGCGTCTCTTCTTCTTCTTCGAGCGGGACGGATCTGGCTTTGGAGTTCGACTTATCCCTTGACGAGGTAGAGGCGAGGAGGCCGTTGTTGCGTAGGACGGGGTCGACTACAGGCGCGAGGGCGGGTGCGGGTTTCTTCGGCTGTGCGGGTACAGAGGTGCGCGCTGTAGCCAATGTCGATGCGGGAGCAGGTTTGCGCGATGGGCCAGGTCCAGGCGCCGAATTCCTATGCGCAGACGATGAAGATATAGACGGCTTCTTCGCCGGCTGAGACGGCCTCTTCCCGCGCGGCGGCCCGACTTTCACCACCTCCTCCTCGTCGCTCCCGCTCTCCGTACGCGCCCTACTCTTCGCCTTCGCCTTCGCCTTCCCATTTCCGACGCGCGGCGCATCATCATCGCTAGACACAAACGGATCCCCGGTCGCTTTGCGTTTGGCGGGTAGGCGCGCCCGCGCGATAGACGCTGCGTTCGGTCTGAACTTGTCTCGCGCTTTAGATTTCGCGGGCGGAGGGGTCGAGGCTGAGTCTGAGTCTTGCTGTGCGGGTCGATGCGGTGCTGGCGCGTCGGAATCGGATTCCGAGTGCCGTTGTCGTGAAGCGCTGGGTTTGGGTTTCGTGGGCGAGATACGAGGAGGGAGACGGGTAGCGCTATCTGAGGATGGTGCACGGGGCGGGAGCGAGTCCGCCACGGACGATACCGAGCGCGACTTCGACTTTGCTTTGAAGTTTGAAGGCCCGGGTACGGATATATCGTCCAAGTCCACCTCGGGCTCGAACCGCCTTGCCGACGGCTTCCGCTTTACCACCCTCGGCTCGTCCTCCTCCTCCCCGTCCTCCTCGTCAGAATCCGGCTCCGGCTCGCGCCGGATAGCCGGCCGCTTGATCTTGCCCGGCGGCGGCATCTCGTCCTCGGACTTGATTTCCGCGCTGTACTCCCGTTCGTGCCGCGCGCGTTTGCGCGGGCGGGAGGGTGAGGGGGGCGGAGAGTCGCGGTGGCGGCGTTTGGTCGCTGTGGCCGTCGACGCGGTCGAGCCCGAGCGCGCCGACGACCCGCGCGAGCGGCCGCGGGCGGAAGAGGTCGTCGAGCGTTTCCGTTTTCTACTCCTTTCCTTCTTCACTACACACACAAATACAATATCAGCATCCTATTTGTATACGCGCCACAGCTAGATATAACACATACGCCTGCGCTCCTCCTCCCACTCCTCCAGCAGCTCCGCCGTGCAGCTGCTCGCCGGCTCCCACGACGGCTTCCACTTCTCGCCGCGGTCGTCCGTGCCCTCCCACTTGATCAGGAAGTGCCGCGCGCCCTTGATGCGTTTCTCGTCGAGTATCTTCTCGGCGGCCCAGTAGGTGCGTTGCGAGGTCGTCAGGTTCGCGTCGGGGTCCTCGTCGTCCGACATCGCTTGCGAGGTAGGTGGGGTAGAGGTGGGGAGATGGAGAGGGTAGTGGGAGGGGTGGACGTGATGGTTTGTGGGATGGACGCGTCGAGAGGGGACTGGACTCGGATCGGGCGCCGGAAGGGGCGAGCACGTTACTCTTCGTTTATCGCTGGCGCCTATAGGGACCCATACGCATCGGGCCGCTGTTAATCTTGCCGATGATCCGTTGCGAGCCCGATCTTGCTGCCAATTCTCGAGATGACGCGCTCGCCATTCGCTGAGCGTCTATATATACATATCCTTCCAGCGCCTGTGTTAAGTGTCAGGGAAGGGATGTACTAGAGATCGCTAATATCTGGTACAACCGGCATCTCGCAGATCACCCAAATGGCCCTGCATACTTGATCTCTCAAAACTTGCCAGACGATGTAAGTATCCGCTCTACGCTGTAATCATAGGCACCTATACGATGTAGACCTCGGACACGGTATACGCCGACTCACGAGATGCGCTATATGCCCGCTTACTTTATCGATACGCCGGTGCGGAAATATGTAGCCAGATGCTGCCTGGGTACGCGTCTCGCGCAGATGACGCGCGATGGCGCCAACATCTTTCAAGCACGTTCATCCGCTCACGATCCCGTCTTTCCTCCCACCACCACCACCACCACCACCTCCCTTCATCTTCTCAACCTACACCCTAGCGCAACCCAACTCTCAACCTAACCTTACCACGAAATGCGCGCATACTACTTCGACCCCACCGCCCCCGGCGACCAGCGCTTCCCGCACGACTCCGGCCGCCCCGTCTCCCTCGCCCAGCTCGAGTCCATCGGCGCCGCGTACTGGCAGATCCCTGTGACCGACGACGGGAGCTGGGAGGAGAAGATTAATGAGGTGGCAAGGGAGAGGGGATACAAGAACCGCGACGTGATCAATGTGAGCAGGGAGGGGCTGGGCGAGGCGTATGAGAGCAAGCTGAAGATTTTCTTCGAGGAGTACGTTTCCTTCCCCCTCTGGTTTCTCCCCTCCACCCCAATCTGTGTGAAACCGGTACCATGCATGATCTTCGTACCGCTGCGAGCGGTCGATTGGGTGCGGTGCGCTCTCTTGCATCAACGCGCGGGCGCATCAAGCCGCGCGCGATGAGACGCTCGCACTCGCGCTCTCACATAAGACCGCTCAGTTGGGCGGCTAAACTCTACCTTTTTCGCTTTCAGAGCGGGAAAGGCATGCGTTCAGCGTCCCGCGCGCGCTCCGGAGCAGTCGCTGCTGGGCTTGAACTGAGCCTTTTGTGCACCGGCGCACTACGTTGAACCCTCGCACGGCGCTGAACCCCCGCGTCAGCGCTCGGAGCAATACTTATCTGCGCCTCCCCCTTTCTTCCCTCTCCCCTCTCTCTCCTTCTCCCTCCCTTGCTGACCTCAAACCCAAATAGGCACATGCACGAAGACGAAGAGATCCGGTACATCCTCTCCGGCTCGGGCTTCTTCGACCTGCGCGAGCACAGCGGGCCGGACGAGGAGTGGATCCGCGTGCACGTTACGCCGGGCGATTTGCTCGTTGTGCCGGCGGGGATATACCATCGGTTTACGCTGGACGAGGGGGACAGGATTAAGGCTATGCGGCTGTTCAAGGTGCGTTCAGTTCGCGTCACAGGCTCTGTACCGCCTCTACTTTCCTGCGCGCGCCATTTGAACTTGTGGGCACTTGTGCAGTCTTCCGCGTTCCTTCTACTCCCGCACGACCGTGTCTGCCACTTTCGGGATCGCATCCCCGGCGCATAAGATGTACACTGCTCCGCGACCTTCACGTTGCCTTCACCTCCGTGACCCTCCGAATCCCTTCGTGTGGAACGCCCTTTTGATGAGTACGCTAACGACCGTGTATCTACAGGAGGAACCGAAGTGGACGCCGCACAACCGAAGCCAGGAGACGGACCAGAACCCGTTCAGGCTGGGCTACCTCGAGTCGCTCAAGGGCGGCGCTATATCCGTCGCCTAAGCCCTCGCTCGCAGGATTGCGGTTCTACTTGTGTGAAGCGAAGTCGCCGAAGTTGTATAAATGAATCGATGTATGTGTATGCTTAGAAACCGTGTATTCGTCCCACGCTATCACCCAGTCATTGGCTTCCTCAACGCTTGGGTGACCCTCGTGCATCGCGACTCTCTCTCTCTTTGGCTGCACAGTTCTATGGCACGCCGTCTGATATAGTATGCAGCCACGGGTGACGGAAAAGGGCCGTGCTTGACGGTGCACGCGATGGTATCTAGACGCTCATAGATCGGGGCCGTGCACTCCCCGCATCCAGCCGTGAGGCTCTGCCGATGTCAGCGCCTATAGAACATGCTGTATGAGCATTGCAAGCTGTCCTCCTTGGACCCGCAATCGCGCTCGTCCACCTTGCCTCCTACGCCCATCTTTTCCCTCGCTTCCGAGTTGTTGACAACATCGCTTCTCTTATGTCTGACACCCTAGCGTCTTCGTATGCAATACGTGTCATCCGTTCTACAGCGATGGCTTGAATGTCTCTCGCAGATTGCCCGTCATCGGCCCGCGAAGAGCCGCTCGACCTCATCCACTCGGCAAGGAGATACGTCTGCGCATTCATCGTGAGCATCTCCCATCTTTCGTTGGATGCCTAAGTGTTGATGCATCATCAGTCGATGGGTGCAAGGGTTTACCCCAACCGAAGACTCCATTCGAGAGTTCTGCGCCTCGGGTATTCGATGTCAGAATTTGTTATATCTCGCGCCAGGATGATCTGAAGTTTGTGGACTCTTCGCGCGTCTTTGAGGGCACAGGCTGCCTCCAAGGCACGGCACGATGGGATGAGACTCTATACATGTACGTCAGCCAACTCCGTGAGCGTGTATCGTTGAAATATATGCTCATGTTCCCCTAGTACCTGTGTCGAGCACAGCTTTGTTTACATCCGCTTGTTTGATGGAGAATACGACGACATTTGCGAGTGTGTCTGCGCTACAGGAGATCTTTTGCAAGTTTCTTCCGGTGCGTATATACCGCATGTATCGGGATCCCGCTGAGAGATGACCATTCTCGTCTAGTATCACTTCTGCCGACTGCAGGTACCCCATCTCGCTACGACACCACCCAAGCATGCACTCTTCACATCTCTACCTCTGCAGCTCTTGCTGATGGCGAAGAGGAGAACTGCGAGCTCGCCAACGAAAGCAGTGTAACGTCTGAGTGTGATGGTGCTCCCTCCGCATCACCATCGGCTACGACTTCATGGGATGTTGCTTTCAGTGGACTTTTCTCTTTTGGGGGAGCCGTCTCGCGAGCAGATGTGCGTGCAGCTACTCGTTCATGAGTATTACCCTCAAATTAGCCTTGATATATAGATTTCGAATACTGGTCGCAGTGTATCTTCAGCACAGGATTTGACCTACAGAGCGTACCAGGTCCTTCGCCAACCACCTGAGCCGTCGCTCGCAATACTAAGCCGTGATCCCTTCAGACATACAGTACTCAACAATCTAATAATCCGCAAATCGACAGCTTGCTCAACTCCTTGACGACGGCTGTCAATACATGCGTGCAGGTCCAATCCACGCGTGTACTGCAGAGCAAGGATTGTGTGGAGCAAATTATTGATCAACTATTTGGGCTAGCATCTCACATGCAAGATATTGCCCGAAGCTTCAGCCGTATGTGATCTAACACATGACACGGAACGTCTCTAACTGACGCTATCCGGATGGTAGCCGACCCCAACGAATACCGCGAGGAAGAACTAGCAAGACTCGTCCTAATCTTCGTCACACCGGATCCACCTACCGGAGTCGACAGCACTTCCACCGGCGGCGATTGGGCCGCACTCTACGGGACAATCGCCAAGGATGCGCTCCTTCTCATCTTGGAGGGAATCGTGCAGTCCTCCGACGCATTTCCGCCTCTGAAGAGTGCGGCCAGTGGGCTACTCTTCTTCGCGACGTCTGCAGATGTGAGTATTCCCGCGACCTGTACGAGAGTGCGCCAAGCCCTGACAGTATGATAAGCTTGCGTCGAGCAACAAGAAGCAAATCCGCGACATACACAAGCGAGTCAACAGCCTAGCTGCTTCGCTCAGATGTGGTGCCGAAGATGGCAGCATGCTCTCATCGGCACATCACAACGCCATTGGCGTTCTCGCCGCGTACGTCCATCTCAACCGTCACCGCGCAACCGCCATGCTGAGCCTCGTGCAGTGACATCTCAGCGCTGAAAGAAGACCTCGAGGCCATCGTCCTCGAACGCAAGAGCCGCTTCAGGCGCTTCTTCAGCGCGAAGCGCCATCGCGAGGAGCTGCAAGACATTGTCCAGCAGATGGACCATGCCCGGTTGACCTACACCGTGCGTCGTGATGCCAAGACCACGTCTCCCTCGTTCGTGCTGACCAGTCTTCGTAGACGGCAGTCGCCACGCTAAACGCAGCGATGAACGCACAAGTCTTGGCTCATGTACGAGCCGTGACGTTCACTATGGGCGTCAGCCCGATGCATGCGCCGGGAACGCGTCCTGTCGAGGCTGCTTCATTCCCGTTTGCATCGTCGCGATTCGAAGAGGTCTCAGTTTGAAGATTTCGATTCCATATGTACTGGAGGTTAAGTCTCGGGTGCGGAAGTGCGGTCGATATGTCATGCTCTCGGGAGAATTGTAAAGGACTAGACTATGTAGCCTATAGATTGGCTAGATAGTGCACGGGATGTATGCAATTTATTCTGATAGATGGCCGGGTAGGCCAGTGACGGAGTATGCAGTGACCGTGGTGGTTCGAGTGCAGGTGTAGGGAAGTGCTCGAGAGGCGCGCGTGTTCGGCCGGACGTGCCGGCTTTATTTCCTACCGCCACCATCGAGTTTCTGGTCGCATGTCCTAGTCATGGCCCATCTCAAGGCTGGAAATGATCAACGGCGGCTGACCTCAAGATAATGTCTTGAGCCTCATTCGTCCTCGAAGAGCATCAGCGCGTGCGCATATACCCAAATAACTACCTAGGCTGCCGCTCGCCGCCCGACTCGGGCCGCGCTGGCTCACCCACATGAGCAGCCCGCCCCACGAACGTGGTATTCTGGTCTACGCGCCATCAATCCCGGACGGTAGAGAGAGGAGAAGGGCGATGAGGCGGATGCGACGTAGAACGGAACGCGGGATTGGGCAAGGCGTACATATGTGAGAAAGTGCTTTCAAGACGTACGTCTCATCTTCTCGCCTGCCCTGCCTTCTCTGACATCGCATGCGCAGGAATATACACGAGTACCAACGGGATCACTGTCTTGTCCTTGACAGCTCGGGTTTGGCTCGGGTCTTCGAGCCTGCGCTCTACGGCAATGTGGCTCCACCTCGTCTCCTCTCGCCATCCTCGTTGTCACAGGTACATACTTCTTACCGCTGTGACCCCTCCCCTATATTTCTAGTTCAATGTCATACTCTGCATTGCTTGCTATGCCACCTTTCCCGAGCGCACGCGCAGAGTGATCTTACAGTAACGCATGTACTCTCCACATGGGCATCCTGTTGCGAAGAACCCGCTGGGTCAGGAATCAATCCTTTATCTTCATAGTAATACACATGGCCACAATCATAAACGTGCACGCTTATGCACAGGTCTGTTTGCTTCTTGTTCGGACGACCCCTGTGCGTATGCACGGAGTGCGGCGCGCGTACGCGTACGCGTTCCTTTCCAATATCGCTCACATCGAGGGAGCCTGGCCATTCACGCAGGACTTTGGAGGCAACACTGGGACGGGATGACAAGGCCACGCTGCAGTTTGTCGATGATGTATGGAGTGGAGAGCCTGGTACAGAGCTAACATTATATACATGGATTTGGGCATGCGATAACGTGCACTGCGGGCCGAACGCGATATGGGGAGGGCAGCGTGGGCGCTTGGCACCAACTGTATAGATCGCGAGCGCCTGGACATGAACAGTTGATTAGCGATGGACCCAGATGAAGCTTCGCACACACGTACCTCATCGTCTACCTCGCCGCCTTCCACAGTACAACCCTCAAGCACCGTCGTAGAATGATCCCCACCACCCCATATACTCCCGTCCATCCCACTCATAACACTACTCCCAAGCGTCATGGTCATATCCGCGTCCTCGTCGTCGCCAGGGAACGCGATCGCACTCGCGCCGCTGCCTTTGCTCTTCCGCCCGCTGCCAGGTGTCTTATGCGGTGAAGCCCCTACACCGATAGAGCCGGCGCTGGACTTGCGCGGCGTAGCGTTCTGACCTGGTGATGCGTGTGCGACGAGTGATGGAGAGGTGCTCGCGCGTTTCTTCGCTTGAGGGGAGGGCGTCGTGAGCTTGAAGCTCGGGCCACTGGGCATGTTCTTCGCAGCCGGGCTGCCCTTCGCAGCAGCTGGGCTTCCCTTCGCAGCAGCCGGACTGCCCTTGACCTTTGCGGTAGTCGACGGGCTGCCCTTGATACCGAGACGGTTCGAAGGTGAGGCCATAGGGCCAAGTGACCGAACGCGTGCGCGGGGTGTGGCCGGCGCAATCGGTACAGCAGTGACCGGACTGGGCGGTTCGACATCTTCCTCTCTCTCCCTCTCCAGATCCTTCATAGAAAATGCCGAACGCAGCGAAGATGCCGAAGACGCCGTAGAGGAAGTAGAAAGCGAGTTCGAGGTAGAGTTTGAGTTCGAGCGAGAAGGCACGAGCAGGGTGTGCCGCCTATTACTCGATAATGAAGCGGAGGCCGTCGAAGCTGATGACGAGATGCGCGGGGCAGGGGAGGGTGACCCCACGCCTGTGGGCATGGACATGCGCTTGTTAGGCGAGCGCGAGCCGGTCGTCGATCCAGTGGTGGGAATCGCGCTCAGCCGCCTGTTCGCGACGCTGACGCTCGGCGAGCGCGCTCCACTGGTACTGCCAGTCTTGGTATCCAAGCTGAGTTTATTCGCAGCATTGAAGCTCGTGGGACCGGTAGAGTTCGTGCGACTGATGCTCCCAGGACGTGCAGAAGTCGAAACAGAGAGCGGGGTGACGGTCGAGACGGAACCAGTCCGAGGTTTGGAGGTCGAGAGGGAAGTGCGCCGGACGATGCGAGAAGGTGTTTCAGAAGGCGGCGCTGCCATCCTGGGCTAGCAGAGGTCGTGTGGCGGCAAGAGGATACGCGCACTGTACGCGTGCGCTCTGTTCAACCTTCGCCACGTGGGGGAAATGTGGCGCAGCAGAGCGCGTCAACGCGCTTTGCCTCCCGCCACCAGGGCGCTTGAATGCTATTGAGCGCCCAGTTGATACTCGCTCAATCGCCCACTTTCGCACCATATCCCTTCTTGTCCTGGTCAGCGCAAACGAAGCAGCCACGAGGCGAACCAGAAACCGTTCACGCTCGGTTGCTTCGAGTTGCTCAAGGGCGGTGCCACACCCGCCGCCTGAGCCTTCTCGCGCGGGAAGGCTGTTCTATCCGTACGAAGAGAATCTCGCGAAATTTTACCAACGAATGGTGTATTCGTATGCCTAGGACTTGTGTGTCTGTCTCGTGCCAATTCGGATCCCATCACCGCCTGTATTCTCATTGCCTATCTAAAATATACCTCCGACATATCTAGCGAGCCGTTACGAGCGCAACCTCGCAGTTTGGGACGCTCGTCAATGTACCTGACTGTTCAAAGCCCGTTCTCGTCTTAATTGCAGCATGCACAGACCCAACGTCGCTGGCGATAGTACCTAAGCGCTCGTAGATTGGGGCCGTGTAGTTGTATGTGAGGTAGGCTTTGTATGTGAGGTAGGCTCCATACTGTGTCAGCGTCTATGGGTATGCGGTGACGGTGCCGCATTCCTCCCTCCTTGCGCCTCGCCCTCTTCGCCCCTTGTCTCTGACTACCACCTTCCTCTCATCTTCAGCTTCTCGCATTACCCATCCCATTTTCGCTGCTCACTCACCCAGCTTGCGACGGCTGATGTCCGATACACCGGAGACGTCGTATGCGCACACTCAGTTTGTCTCGACGAACTTCTTTGACCTTTTCGCCCAGGCTACCCATTCTTGGTCCGCAAAGAGCTGCCCGACCCCATCCACTCGGCAAGGATATACGTCTACGCATTCATCGTGAGTATTGCTAGCTGGTGCCGTATTCCTGATGCTGACGACGATAGCCAGTCGATGGGTGCAAAGGTCTACCTCAACCAAAGACTCCGTTCAAGAGTTCTGCTCCTCGGAAGTTGGAGATCGCAATGTATTATTGCTCGAGCAAAGAAATTGATGCCCACCTTTACTCATCGAAAGCATATGAGGGCACAGGCTGCCATCAAGGCACGGTCAAGTGGGATGAGACTCTGTACATGTACGTCAATCAACTCCTTGACCGTATGTCGTTAAAATATATGCTCATATTCGCCTAGTACCTGTGTAGAGCACAGTTTAGTTCACATCACCTTGTATGTCGAAGAATACGGCGTAATGTGCGAGTGTGTCTACACTGCTGGAGATCTATTGCAAGTGTCTTCCGGTACGTGTATACGGCATGGATCAGGCTTCCGCTGACGGAGGACCATCCTTGCCTAGTATCACTCATGCCGACGTCATGGGCCCAACTTCGCTACAATCCCATCCAAGAATGCACTCTCTTCATCTCTGCCTCCGCAGTCCCTGCTAATGGCGAAGAAGAAAATGGCGAAGTTGACGACGAAAGCAGCTTGGTGTCTGAGCGCGATGATGCATCCTCTGGATTGCAATTAATGGCGGCTTCATGGGATGTTGCTCTTCGTGGACTTGCCTCTTTTGGGGGAGCCGTCTCGCGAGCAAATGTGCGTACAGCTACTCGTTCATGAGTGCTATTCTCAAACGAGCCTTTGATGCATAGATTGCGACTACTGGCCGCAATGTATTTACAGCACAGTATTGGACCTACAAAGCGTACCAGGTCCCTCGACTACCATATGAGCCGTCGCTCACAATACTAAGCCGCGATTTCTCCAGGCATGCAGCACTCGACAGTCGAATGATCCGCAAATCGATAGCCTACTCAAGTCCTTGATGACGGCTGTGAATACGTGTGTACAGGTCCAATCCACGCGTGTACTGCAGAGGAAGGATTGCATTGAGCAAATATTTGGACAATTATATGAGCTAGCGGCCCTTATGGATGAGCTTGCCCAAGAAATCCCCCGTACGTGATCTAATACATGGTCCAGAATGCCTCTGGCTGACACTATTCGGATGGTAGCCGGCGTCCCCAACGCATACCGCGAGGAAGAGCTAGCAAGACTGGTCCTAATCCTCGTCACACCGGACCCGCCTACGGGAGTCAACAGCACATCCACCGGCGGCGATTGGACCGCACTCTACGGGACAATCGCAAAAGACGCACTTCTCTTCACCTTGGAGGGAATCGTACAGTCCTCCGACGCCTTTCCGCCTCTGAAGAGCGCGGCTAGTGGGCTACTCTTCTTCGCGGCTTCTGCAGATGTGAGCACTCCACAGCGTGTACATGATTCCAAACAGATACTGATACTCTTCCAAGATGGCGTCGAACAACAAGAAGCATATACGCGACATCCACAAGCGCGTCAACAGCCTGGCTACGTCTCTCAGATCTGGCGCCGAAGAGGGCAGCATGCTGACACCCGCGCACCAAAAGGCCATCGCCGCTCTCGCAACGTACGCACATCGTTTCATCCTTGCTCCAGACCGAACTAATCGCAATACAGCGACATATCTTCGCTAAAGGAAGAACTCGAAGTCATCGTCACCGAGCGCAAGAACCACCTGAGGCGCTTCTTCAGCGCCAAGCGCCATCGCGAAGACCTCCAGGACATCGTCTGGCAGCTCGACAACGCTCGCTCGAACTACGCCGTACGTCTTCACACCGTCTGGACCAGTATCACAGTCGGCAATGCTGACGGGACGTGACAGACGGCGGTCGCGACGCTAAACGCGACGACGAACGCCCAAGTGTTAGCTTATGTGCGACCCATGGCAGTCGTCATGGGCATAAACCCGGTATATGCGCCCGGTACGCGCCCAGTTGATGCGGCGTCGTTCCCGTTCGGGTCGTCGCGGATCGAAGAGGTCTAATCGCCATTGAGTGGCGCGCGGTCGATGGGAAGATCGGAAAGGATATTAAGATGAGAGTCTACGAGGCGGGTTCTACAGAATGAGATTGGACGATGGAGCGTAGGAATCGTGTATTGGGTGTGTGTATACCCTAGTCCGGAAGACTCGTGCGGACCTGTGTAGATGAGAACATATATAGCAGCCTGCGCTGAAGTCTCAGAGACGACCGTGGCGGTCCGAGAGCAAGTGCGCGAAACACGTCTCTTACATACCGCGCGCGTCAACTTCGCTTTGCACCGCCACCAGTGGGTCTCAAGCTGCTCATCATGCTCGTAGCTCATCTACACCCCAACGACAATGCGACGCGACTGCGCTCAAGATGGAACCGGTTACCTTTATTCAGGAGCACGTCCTAGTGCGCGCACACGTATCCTCTGCTCACTCTCGCGGACGGTGATCCAGGCGATCAACGCACTTCATGCGACTCAGGGCGCGCTGTCCTGCTCGAATAGCGCGACTTCATGCATGATGGCCCTATCTATTGGAAGGCAGTGTGAAGAGAACGGCAACGAAGACAATGGGGAGATCAGCCATAAGACGGATTGTCGCACGGGGTGTCCTCAAACAGTACGTCCCATCTACTCCCCTCCCCAACTTTTTCTGCTTGCTCTGACATCGGGTGCGCAGGAATATGCGCTATCGTCAAGAAGAGCGCTACTACTACGTCCGCCGTAGCTCGGGTTTGGCTCGGGTGTTCAAACATCCTCGCCGAACATGACGAGCTGCTGGTGTCAACGGGAATGGGGCCCATCCTTGCCTCCTGTCGCCATCCCCATCGACGTAAACACATCTGACCGCTGTGACCCTGCCCTCTGTACCGCTGGCCCAATGTCATGGTCTACATACATGCTATACCACGGTCGTCGCGCGCGCATGCTCAGAGTGATCTCGCAGGACCACTTGAACTCTTCGTATAGACGTTCTGGCCTCAATACGCGAAGTACGCGAGAGGGTCGAAATAGATTAGGCAGCCAACTCGCCGACTGATGCGCTAATGCAGTAACGTTGAACGCGACGATGCTCGCGACGGGTACGCTCACATACAGGTTTGTGCACTTCTAGTTGGTATAACCCTGGTGCATATGGCCAGGTGAGATGCGGTGCGCAAACGCTCATACGCTTCCTTTCAACTTACCCCGGTCGCATCATGGAAGCATTGATTCTATACTTTCAATATGGACCCGAGCACTACACTTGTTCAGCGATGATATATTGGTCGTGATGCATGATAAAGGGAACAGCGATGCAACAATGCATTTCCTGAATTATATATGTACTCGGATACAGCACAAGCCGGTTTACGACAACATGAAATGCGCGCCAAACACGCTACAGGGAGGAGAACACGATCATCGTACATCATGATCATTCCTAGCAAGAGCGCCAGACCCATCGTCAGGCTTCTTAGCGTCGAGCATTACTCGCACCTAGACCCGAATACTTGATTAGTTACAGATCGAGATGAAGCTCCGCACATACGCACCACCTCGTCTACCCAGACGCCTTCCACAGTATGAACGTCGGGCGCCAACTTCACGCCATTCTCGCGATCCCACACACACCCGTCCATCCCACCCATAAGACCATTCCCAAGCACCAGGTTCATACGCGCCGCCTCATCGCAGGGGATTGCGAGTACGCTCGCAGCAACGCCCTGACTTCTCCGTCCAGTGGGAAGTGTAGTTTGAGGCGAGACGCCAACGCCAGTGTATCTGACGCTCGATCCGCGCGGAGGGGTGTCTTGTCGTCCAGGAGACGCGAACGCAATAATGGACGGAGATCGCTGGAGGCGAGAGCGTCGTGAGCTTAAAGGTACGGCCGTAGGGCGTGCTCTGCCCAGCGGGACTGCCTTTCGCAGTAGCTGGACTAGCCTTGGCTGCGGCCGGGCTGCCCTTCACTTTCGCGGTAGTCGACAGGCTTCTCTTGATACCGAGAGGGGTCGAAGCCAAAGCCATAGGACTCAGCAACCGAATGCGCGCGTGAGGTATGACCGGAGCCGTGATCGGATTTGACAGCATATCCTCCTCCCTCTCCCTCTCCAAATCCTTCATAGCGAAGCCGTTGAAGAAGTAGAGCTAGTCGGAGTCGGATGTAGAGTTTGAGCCTAGGCACGAGGCGGGTGGTCGCGTATCACTCGATAGAGAAGCTGAGGCTGTCGAGTATGCGGCGAGTGTAAGGCGTAGGAGATGGCCCTACGCCTGTGGGCAGGGATATGCGCGTGTTTGGCAAGTGCGATCCGGCCGTCGGTCCAGTGGTGGAAATCGCGCTCAGCCGCCTATCCGCGATGCTGACGTTGGACGCGAGCGGGCGGCGGTGATGATGCCAGCCTTCGGGTCTTCGTTCGCGGTATTGAAGCTCGTGGAATCCGTAGCGTTCGTGCGACGAATGCTGCCCGGGCGAGCGTCCGTCGAAGCAGAGAGCGGGGTCACGGTCGAGACGGAGCCAGTCCGAGGTTTGGAGGTCGAGAGTGAAGTGCGTCGGACAATTCGAGATGGTGTTTCAGAGGGCGGCGCTGCCATCCTGGGCTGACAGAGGTCGTGTTGCGGCGAGAGGATGCTTACGCGCACTGTACGGGTGCGCGCTGTTCAACCTTCGCCACGTGCGGGAAATGTGGCCCACCGCGACGGCGCAGCAGAGCGCGTCGACCCGCTCTGCCTCCCACCACCAGGGCGCTTGAATGCTGTTGAGCGCCCAGTTGATAGTCGCTCAATCACCTACCCTCGCACAATATTTCTTCCTGTCCTGGTCAGCGCAACCTAATTAGCCACGAGGCGAACCAGAAACCGTTCACGCTCGGTTGCTTCGAGTTGCTCAAGAGTTGCTCAAGGGCTGTGCCATATTTAGTACTCGAGTCTTCTGGCGAGGGAAGGCTGTTCTATCTGGCCGCTGTGAAGAGAAGATCCCGAAGATGTGTAAATGAAATGTCGTATGTGGATGCCGAGGGACCGTGTACCTGTCTTGTCCAACTTGAATCCCGCCGCCATCTATATTTCCTTCGCCCTCCAGCGGGCCGTTACAAACGCAGAATCGCTGTTCTGCGACAATCATCAATGTACATAACTGTGGAATCCCGCTCGCGCACAGACTCGACGATGCCTGCGATAACATCCAGACGCTCATAGATTGGAGCCATGCAGTCGGCTGTGAAGTCAGCTTCATACTGTACCGGCGTCTATGGGCACGCGGCGATTGCGCTGCATACCTTCGTCCTTGCGTTTTGCCTTCTTCACGCCTTGTCTCCTACTATCCCCTCCCTCTCGCCTTCAGCTCTTTGTAGTGTCAATTCCATCTTCGCCGCTTTCCCAACCATCTTGTGACGGCTCATGTCCGGTACACAGGAGACGCCGTACGCGCACGCCACATTGTCTCGGCAAACTTCTTTGACCTCTTCGCCCTGGCTTCCTGTCCTCGGTCCGCAAAGAGCTGCTCCGAGACCTCATCCACTCGGCAAGGATATACGTCTACGTATTCACCGTGAGGATCTCCCCTTTTCCGTTGCATGCATAGTGTTGATGCATTATCAGTCGACGGGTGCAAGGGTCTACCTCAACCGAAGACTTCTTCCGAGAGTTCTGCGCCCCGAAAGTTTAAAGTCACCATCCAGTATACATCGAGCACGGATGTACGTGGCGATCTTACTTCCTCATTTGCTAGTGAGGGCAGAGGGCACCGTCAAGGCACGTTGCAATGGGATGACACTCTATACCTGTACGTCTGATTGCTCCGTGAAGATGCATCGTTGAAATGTCTGCTCATGCTGTTCCCCTAGTACCTGTTTCGAGCACAGCTTTGTTCGAATCCTCTTGTGTGATGGATACTACAGAATCTGCGAGCGTGTTTGCCCTGCCGTTGATCTGTTACAAGTTTCTTCTGGTGCGTCTATACAGTGTGTATCGGGAGTTCGCTCAGGAGGGATCATTCTCGCCTAGTATCACTTCTGCCGACGACATCGGCCCTATCTCTCTGTGACACCACCCAGGAATGCACTCTCTTAATCTCTGCCTCTACAGTCCCGGCTAATAGCGAAGAGAGCCACGTACTTGAGAACGACAGCAGTGTGACATCCCAGAGCGAAGATGCTTTCTCTAGATCACAACTGGCGGCAAGGTCATGGGATGTTGCCTTTCGTGGAATATCCTCTTTTGCGGGTGTCGTCTCTCAAGCAAATGTAAGTGCAACTGCTGAATCATGGGCCCTATTATCAGAACCGGCTTGATATATAGATTGCGAGTACTGCGGAATATATATATCGGACTCAGTTGTGGACCTACACAGCGTACCAGGTATTTCGACTACCACATGAGCCGTTGCTCACAATACTAAGTTGCGATTCCTCCAGGCATGCAATGTCGCAGGACAAATTGATGATACACGAATTGACAGCCTACTCAACACCTTGGCCATGGCTGCGAATGAATGTGTACAGGTGCAATCCACACATATACTGCACAGGAAGAGTTGCGTTGAGCAAATCACTACACAATTACACTGGCTAGCAAAACTTGTGTATAAGCTTACCGATGATAGCAATTGTACGTGGATTGGAACTTGCTGTGAAACGTCTCTAACTGACCTTATTGGGATGGTAGCCGCCCCTAACGCATACCGCGAAGAAGGACTGGCAAGACTGGTCGTAATCCTCGTCACACCGGACCCACCCACCGGAGTCAGCAGCACTTCCACCGGCGGCGATTGGACCGCACTCTACGGTACAATCGCCAAGGATGCGCTCCTCTTCACCTTAGAGGGAATCGTACAGTCGTCCGACGCCTTTCCGCCTCTGAAGAGCGCAGCGAGCGGGCTTCTGTTCTTCGCGACATCGGCAGATGTGAGCATTCCTCAGTGCGTACATGATATTGAAACAGATACTAATACTTCTCCAAGATGGCATCGAACAACAAGAAGCACATCCGAGACATCCACAAGCGCGTCAACAACCTGGCCGCTTCGCTCAGATGTGGCGCCGAAGACGGTAGCATGCTCTCGTCGGCGCATCACAACGCAATTGGCGTTCTCGCCGCGTACGTCTATCTCATCCTTCACCACGCAACTGCAATGCTGAGCCTCGTACAGTGACATCTCAGCGCTGAAGGAAGACCTCGAAGCCATCGTCCACGAACGCAAGAGCCGCTTCAGGCGCTTCTTCAGCGCGAGGCGACATCGTGAGGAGCTGCAAGACATTGTCCAGCAGATGGACCATGCGCGGTTGAACTACACCGTGAGTCGCGAAGCCCACATCTCCCTCGTTCGTTCTGACGATTCCCGATGGACGGCAGTCGCCACGCTGAACGCCACGACAAATGCACAGGTATTGGCTCATGTACGAGCCGTAACGTTCACTATGGGCGTCAGCCCGATGCACATGCCGGGAGCGCGTCCTGTCGAGGCGGCATCGTTCCCGTTCGCGTCGTCTCGATTCGAAGAGGTTCCGGCTTGATACGCACGAGATGTTGAAGCTCGGGTCCGGAAGTGCGGTCGATACTTATGTCATGCTTTCTGGCGAATTGTAAATGACTAGATTGCGTAGCCTACGGATTGGCAAGGCTTGTGCACAGAATGTACGCGGTTCTGAGTAGGTGTATGTAATATGCGGTGACCATGGCGGTTCGAGTGCAAGGGCAGGGAAGTGCGCGCGGCAGGCGGGATCGCGCACGCCAACTTCACTCTCGACCACCACCATCAACAGACTTCTGTACTTCCCACTAGCTATGGATCGCACTCTACGTAATATGATGACGCCGAGTCGCTCAAAACAAATGCGGCAGCCTTCGTCGGCTAGGACGTCGTAACCCGGGCGCATACAACTTTGCCGGCGCGACTTCGGCGGCGCCGTGCCGCTGGACCAACTCCCTACTGTACTCCGATCTACTTCACGACTCCATACAAACCGCCAATGCGCGCATACTCCATTGAACCCACCGCTCCTGGCCGCGCCCTGCACGACTCGGGTCGCCCTGTCTCCATCTCCCAGCTCAAGTCCATCGGCGCCGCGTACTGGCGGATCCCTGGGAATGGAACCTAGAAGGAGAAGTTTCAAGATTTCGCGCGGGAAAGAGCCTATAACAACCTATAACAACCACGATATTAATGTCAGCGGGGAGGGGCGAGGCGTATGAGAGTAAGCTAAAGATCTTTTCTCGAGGATTACGTCGTTTGCTCGCATCCTCTCCCCTCCCCCCATGAGAGTCGTGTCATAAAGCGCATCAGTCCTCGTGCAACGAGGCTCTCGAGCTCGCACTCCTCCCGTCCAAAGTCCTGGCGTGCAAGTTCTTCCGCTAGGGGTGGGCGTATTACGTCGAACCCCAACACCGCGCTGAACACTCGACCTCCGCGCCCGTGCAAGCGGCAAGACTCCTCTGCATCTTGCCCTCCCTCTCCTTCCACTTCTCATGCTAACCTGAGACCCGAATAGGCATATACGCGAAGACGAAGCAATCCGGTACATCCTCTCTGGCTCGGGCTTCTTCGACCCGCGCGAGCACACCGGACGAAGAATGGATCGGCGTACACGTCACGCCTTGAGATCTTCTTGTTGAACCGGCGGGGATATATCTCGGGTTCACGCTAGACGAGGGGGACAAGATCAAGGCTATGCGGTCGTTCAAGGTGCGTTGAATTGTGTGTCGCGCTGGAGAGGGACTAATTGGGTGCTGTGTAGGAGGAGCCAAAGTGGACCCGCATAACCGAAGCCAGGAGATGGGCCACAACCTGTTCAGGCTAGGCTACCTCGAGTCTCTCAAGGGCGGTGCCATACCCGTTGCCTGAGATCCTGCGCACAAGATCATCAGTCCCGCATGTGGGAACAACAAAGAAAGCACTGAACATATACGATTGCTGTATGTACTATGAAACCGTGTATCCATCTGCCAAGACTTGAGAAGATACTGCCAAAGGCGGGCCACAAACGCCACAACCCTGCGAATCCATCGCTCGGGGCCGTGCAGCTGCTGTGCGCTATGACCGTGCGATACATGGCGGCGCCTACGGTACACGCTGCGAACGCGTTGTAGGCTGTCGATGTCTGAAGGTCGCTTGGGTCCTCCTTCCATTTCTTCACCCATCGCCAGACGCCACCCATCTCCGCTGTCTTTTTCTCCCGTAACATCGAGCTTCCATTCCAGTGATCCGTCTTCGAGATGCCAGAGTCTTCGTATGCATACGCGCCACTCGTTCCCTAGCGATAGCTTCAACTCCCTCTTCAGACTTCCCGTCTTCGGCCCGCTAACAGCTGCCCGACCTGGTCCACTCGGCAAGGAGATACGTCTACGCATTCACCGTGAGCCTCTTCCCTCTTTTGTTGCATGCCTAGTGTTGATGCATTATCAGTCGATGGTTGCAGAGGTCTACCTCAACCGAAGACTCCGGCTGAAAGTTATGCGCCTCGAAAGTTCTTTGTTAGCATTGGGTATATCTCGAGCCGGGATGGTGGGAACTTTGTGGATTCTTCGAGCGTTCATGAGGGCACAGGCTGCCTCCAAGGCACGGTAAAGTGGGATGATATTCTGGACATGTACGTCAGACTACCCCCCGAAGGTCAATCGTTGCAATATTTGCTCATACCCGCATAGTACCTGTCTAGAGCACAGTCTTCTTCGGATCATCTTGTATCATGGCGAACGCAACGGACCCTGGGAGTGTGTCTCCACTGCTGGAGATTTATTGCAAGTTTCTTCCGGTGCGTATATACGCCATGTATGAGGACTCTGCTGAGGGAGGACCCTCTTCGCCTAGTATCACTCGTGCTATGGGACGACACCATCTCGGAATGCACTCTCTTCATCTCTGCCTCAGCAGCCCCTGCTGATTGCGACAAAGATTGCTGTGAACTCGACACCGCAAGCAGAATGGTGTTTGAGCGTGATGATGCTCGCTTTGAATTACAATCACCTGCGAGTTCATGGGATGTTGCATTTCGCGGGCTCTTCTCTTTTGGGGGTGCCGTCTCTCGACACAATGTGCGTGCAATCACTGGGCATGTGCACTATTTTTAAGCCCGGCTTGTCGTATAGATTGCGGATGCTGCCAACAATATATTCTATGCCCAGTTCTATACCTATATATCGTATCAGGTCCTTGGACTACCACATGACTCAGCCGTCGCTAAGAATACTGAGCTGCGATTCCTCTAGGCATGCTGTACTCGACAATCGAACGATGCGCAAACTGACAGTCTACTCAAGTCCTTGATGAAGGCCGTGTCTACATGCGTGCAGGTCCAATCTACGCGTGTACTGCAGAGCAAGGATTGCGTTGAGCAAATATATGTTCAATTGTATTACCTGGCATTTTCCATGCAAGGTAATGCCTCTTATCGCAACTGTACGTGGCTGCAAACGTGTTGTGAAACGTCTCTGAATGACACTATCTGGATGGTAGCCGACCTCAACAAATATCGCGAGGAAGAGCTAGCGAGACTCGTCGTGATCCTCGTCACACCGGACCCACCCACCGGAGTCAACAGCACTTCCACCAGCACAGATTGGGCCGCACTCTACGGGACAACCGCCAAGGACGCACTCCTCCTCACCTTGGAGGGCATCGTGCAGTCGTCCGACGCCTTTCCGCCTCTGAAGAGCGCAGCCAGTGGGCTTCTGTTCTTCGCGACATCGGCGGATGTGAGTGTGTATGCGAACGTACGAGTGTGGTCTGGATGCTGACCTTCTTGAAAGATGGCGTCGAGCAACAAGAAGCAGATACGCGACATCCACAAGCGCGTCAACAGCCTGGCCGCTTCGCTCAGATGTGGCGCCGAAGACGGTAGCATGCTCTCATCGGCGCATCACAACGCCATTGGCGTTCTCGCCGCGTAGGTCTATTTGATCCTTCACCGCATAACTGCCATGCTGAGCCTCTTACAGTGACATCTCAGCACTGAAGGAAGACCTCGAGTCCATCGTCCACGAACGCAAGAGCCGCTTCAGGCGCTTCTTCAGCGCGAAGCGGCATCGCGAGGAGCTGCAAGACATCGTCCAACAGATGGACCATGCGCGGTTGAACTACACCGTGCGTTGTGATGCCAAGTCACGTCGCTGTCGTTTGTGCTGATTATTCTCGACAGACGGCGGTCGCCACGCTGAACGCCACGACGAATGCACAGGTATTGGCTCATGTACGTGCCGTGACGTTCACCATGGGCGTTAGCCCGATGCATGCGCCGGGAACACGCCCTGTTGACGCAGCATCGTTCCCGTTCGGGTCGTCTCGCTTCGAAGAGGTCTGATTGTGTATGGATGGACGCACGCGATGGGCCGAAGACTGTAGAGAGCCACGAGGAGTCTGTGAGGTTGCTTATTTTCACGGGAGATGGATACTAGTAGTCGAACATGATCGTGTACCAGTTGCAGATGTCTAAGTTGGTCACGGGGAGATGCGCGGGCAATCGTGTGTATGGGCATATCTTAAGCGCTCTGTGAGGTTCTCGTGGTGGCTCGGGTGCAGGCCGGGACTGCGCCGAAGCGCGCGGGTCTCGTCGCGCGTCAGCTTGCTTCTTCTCCCCCATGATCGAACTTTCACTGCGACAACATGCCGAGCTTCATCGGTTGAGTGACAACTGCACACAAGCTACCGGTCTTCAAGGAACATGTCCGGCATTCGTGAGAACCATGTCGGCACACTTTCTAGCGATCAGCGCGCGCACTGCACCCATCTATCCGCCCAACCTCGCGCCCATAGCTTCACCTCATCTCCGCGACGCGCTGGCCAGTCCTCGTCGTGAATGGCAGTAGATCAGAGGCCGAGGCCTACGGAGTAGAAGGAGGGAGACTACAAGGACCGTCATCAGAAGTCGCAAGGACTGTCTGGACGATGGCGCTTGTTGTAGATCAGTCCCGAAGAGTGCGTCTTCTGAGACTCCTCTCCCCTCTCGTATCCTCTCGTCCATCGTGATATTGACCAATAACGTCAGGTGCATTCATGAACACAGACTGATCCGCTATGGCCTCGACAACTCCTTCGACCAGCGCAAGCGCAAGAGACGTACTCGTTACGACGGTGGTATAAGCGGCGTATGTATGTATATCACCAGATGACGCTGGATGAGGGCAGCGGGACGCAGGCTATGCTGCATTTCGAGGTATGTTCCCCAATCCCGCGTTGCCTGTAGCTCTCGCACAAGCTTGTGCCCCTGCGTCGTCTTTCACGCTCACGATATTTTGTCAGATTTTGTCTCTATAGAAAGCGTCGAGAAGGCGCCTGGCCAGGGGACGCAACTAAAAGCCTTTCCAGTCAGGCTCGAGTACCTTGAGCCGCAATATCTCTAGTGGTTGTTAACCCGCGCATGACGGAATTCTGATGTCACGATGCGATCCGAGGAAGTTAAGCGGTGGGAGAAGATGTATGAGTGCTGTATGTATCATGACACTGTGTATTGGTCTTTCACGGGTTACGTTGTGCTCCCGGCCCCAATCCATATAACTCTTTCTTCGTCGCTATGTATAAACCCTTCCGTATGGGTTAGCCGTTGGCTAAACACTATGGTCGTGCGAAACATAGCCCTTTTCAGCCGCTGCTGATCATTCCCTTGCAGACTCCACCCCCCTTCTTACTTGTGTCTTACCTCCACTTTCTCTTCGTCCCGCTTCTTGTGTTCGTTATGACAGAGACCTCGTATGCACATGCGCGACCTGCACTTACGAGCCTCATTGACCTATCCGGTCAGGCTTCCTGTCTTTGGTCCGCAAAGAGCTTCTCGGCCCCATCCACTGGGCAAGGACATGCGTCTGCGCATCCAGCGCGAGTGTCTCTATCTCCTGTCGCATGACGAGCTTATCAACAATCCCTAGTCGATAGATGCAGAGGACTGCGTCGATTCGAGACTTCAATGGCTGAATGTTCTGCACCTCGGGAGTTACATGTCGAGATTGACTACATCTCAAGATGGGTTGAGTATGGCTACATGTGCTCCTCGCGTGCTCGTGAGGGCAAAGGATATCTTCAAGGCACGGTGAATTGGGGTGAGGCCCTATACATGTACGTCTGACAACTTCGTGAACGTGGATCGTTGCTATATCTGCTTATATCCATCTAGTACTTGTCTCGAACACAGTTTTGTTAGCATCACCTTGTTTGATGGAGAAGACGGCGGAATCTACGAGTGTTACTGCACTGCTATAGACCTTCTGCGAGTTTCTTCCGGTGCGTGTATGCGGCATGTATCTAGATCTCGATTGCGCTGAGAGAGGACCATCATCGCCTAGTATCACTTCGGCCTATATCACGGATTCAATCTCATGACGCCACCACCACAGAGTGCACACTGTTCATCTCCGCCTCAACAGTACCCGGTACCGGTGGCGAGGAAGAGCACTGCGAACTCATCAACGAAAGCAGGGCGGTGCCTGAGTGTGGTGGTGCTTTCTCCGCGCTGCGATTGACGGCGACTTCATGGGGTCTTGCGTTGCGTGGGCTCCTCTCTTTTGCGGAAGCCGTCTCTCGCGTAAATGTGCGTGCAATCACTATATAATGAGCGGGAGTTCTTGAAACTTGTCCGATGCATAGATTGCGAGTGCTGTCGATGCTATGTTCATGGCGCAACACTATACCCACAGTGCATATCAGGTCCATCGACCACCACATGAGCCGTCACTCATGATACTAAGTCGTGCTCTCTCCAGGCATGCAGCACTCGAGGATCTAATGATCCGGAACTCGCTAGCCTACTTGATTCCTTGATGACAGCTGTGAATACCTGTATACAGGTCCGATCCACGCGTATACTGCACAGGAAGGGTTGTGTTGGGCAAATCCTTGATCAGTTCTATTGGCTAGCATCTGTCAT